TCGCCCAGAGGTCAACGAGAGCCTGGATCAGGCTTTTCGGACTTACTGGTCGTTCAGGGCTGGCTTAAGGCGTCGGTTTGGCAGCAAAGCGCGAGGGCCGATGGGGGCTTATTCAGAGGGGCAGGTCACAGCAGGTTTAATTTGAGATGGGATGAAAGATCATGAGTCTTTTCACGTCATCTGGCTTCGGGATCGGGCGTCATGTTATCGCCAAGACGTCGTGCAACCTGTGGGGAGGGCCGCGAATCGCACGACTCGGCGCGCACCACTGCCCCCTCATACTTGTTGCAGAATTTGGCCTACTGGCCGGCGACATGTTCAACGATGTGGTCGCCAAGGTATATGTCATGTTTGAGTTCGACTTTTTCTTTTTTCGAAATCCAGGCATCTACTTGGGCTCGCATGTCGACGATGATGTGATTGCTGCGCATGGGAGGGAGGAGGTCGTCTTCGAAGATCCTCGAAAAGCAGCAATTGAATTCAAACGCACATTTTCAGACCAGCTTGGCGTCCAGTTTGCCGAGGACATAGCAGCGCCATTTGCTTCTACGGCCAAGCTGGCAAAGAAGCTCTCTCGCCTGATTGCCCCGAGTTGCCCTTCAACAGCCACCAATGCGACCATCTCGCCTGGAGTGAATTTTTGCGCCAGGTCAGCGGCGTCAGGCGCGACGTGCTCGAGCTCGTCGGCGAGACCGCTTCCGTCAGCGGGTTCGCAAACGTACGTTGCAGAATATTCGGAAGAAGCCCCCTCGAGATAAAGGACGCCTCAGCAAGATATACTTTGCTTGGACGCTTCAGATAAAGAGCTCACGGAGCTTCGGTCGGCGGTAACGTCTGGGGCCACGCCTGCACATAGAGGAGCCTCGTTAACAGCTAAAGTGGTGCTTCATGGGGACCCGGCTTGGCGTCAGGCAAGCTCCAGCCTTATAGTGGGCTCACAGTCTCTGGCTGAGCCTCGCGGGCCCCGAGGGCAACCGCGTCTCTTTTCGGGGCCATGCTCGGATCTGGAGGGCGGTGTCTGCTACATCTCCGGAGCTTGAGCCTCAGTATGGAGCCGCTCTCGCGGACCTTTAAATAGGATGCCCCTCCCCCTTTCATCGCATCGGCTGGCGCGCTGATAATTTTGCTTTGCGGCGAGATGACCGTGACTTCGGAATCGACCTCGCATGCGCCTCCCCAGCCATGCCTGCCAAGCTTTTGGAGGCGGGGGTTCAGCGAGCCCTAGAGCGACGTCTTGCCTCGAACCTTCCAGAGTTCACAGGTGAGCGAGTCCGCGCTGATCCCTTCCGCAGCCTGCACAGGTCTCGCAAGACGAATGCGAGGCAGAAGTATCGGTTGTCGGCATGTTTCTCCGGAGCTTGTTGGACAGGGGATCGGCTTCGAGACTCGGGTTACTTTCACGGGGGGGTCCGTTGTGTGGTTTACCAAATTCCCTGATCCACCGGCACTGGTTCCGCGAGGCTGAAGAGGTCCGTCAGATTCGCATCGAGTGCGTAGGTGACGAAGTTTTGCTTGAGGCCCGAAATATGGTTTATAATAACCCCCTTTTTTGGTCTCGCTTGATCATCGCCCAGCCATATATCCCTCTTCCCTCCTGGGACCCCGTCCTCGAGGCGATCGATCTCGAGCGACTCCTCGAAATAACCCGTGGCTGCGAGATGGTAGCGGACGGTTCGGCGACCTGGCTCATCTTTCGAGAATGCAACAGACCAGCCTATGTTGCCGTTTTCCTGGCTCCTGGGGAAGAGCACGTGATCCGTGCTCGCGTCCTTGGAGTTGTCTGGCCTCTTCTGTTTCAGACCCATCAGGCTGCCGAGCACCTGGGGCTAGCTACCTTGAGTGTTCTCGTCGATACTCACAGCGTGCCGCACAGCGATTGTCCCGGGGCCGTCCGATTACAGAATGCCAGCCTGAGGGAACAGCTCTGCCCGAAGCAAGTGTTTGCGGGTTTGAGGCGGATGGCCATGGAGCGTGATCCTAAACGTCTCCTCGGTCAGGCGCACCACACCTCAGCGCATAGGAGTGAAGAGGTGATAGAGGCTCTGCCAGTTTGGGAGCGCCGGATTGCGCGGGGCAGTCAGGATGCCGACAGGCTTGCCTAACATGCTCTCATTTTGCACCCGGGGAGCTCCTGCTGAGACTCTAGAGGCCTTCGATGCCTTGGTAACTCGAACCAAGGTGCTCGCTAAAATGTTTTCCGCAGTGCTCCCCTGTTTCCCTAAACTCGACTTCCGCCGTGCGCCCAGAGAACTCCGGCCCAGGTTGGTCAGAGATCCGAGCTGGCACGACTGGCAAAGATTTGAACCTGGGGGTGCGTGGAGGCACAGCAAAGTTCAGTGTGTGTTATGGGGAGGACCGCCCTATGGTGGGCTGCAAGGGCCTCCCCATGGCCATTCAGCAGCTTCGCGGAGCGGAGCTGCGCGGCCACAGGCTCGGCGTTTCCATTGTTCAGGACGAGGAATCGTTGCCTCTCGTAGAGCCTATTCCAGCAAGCGTTGTGTCCTTCTCGCTGGGAATTGTCCTCCTGAGGCCCCCAAAAGCGGGAAGCAGACTCTGCGTCGAATTCGCCGGGGTTTGCATCCCCACTATTCGAGTGGAGTGGCGGTTGGGTCCACCCGCAGTCCTGCCGCCTCTGTCTTGCTCGAGGCTGCCGCTTCGTCCACTGTGATGGAAAGCTCCGCCTCCTCGCCCGATCGCGCGAGCCTCATTTCGACTCCTGGATTGGAGGCCCCAGCCGAGCGGATCAGTCAACCCGAAGCGGCGGGTAAAGCAGCAGTAATCCCTTGACATAGGCGCAACAGGCGCCGGGGGACAATTTCGTTACCAGCCGTGTTTGGTTCCGTTTGTGCGGAATTTTGCCGGTCGCCTCAAAACAGCGCCGTTTTGTAGTGCGTATTTGGCGTTGTGCTGCGCGCGGCGGCCCCTTGAAGCTTCGTCATGTTGCGTTCTGCCTCCGGGCCCTCGAGGGAAAATCTTCCTCTTCCTCATCCTCCTCCCCTCCTTTTTTCTTCTTCTCCGCCTCCTCTTCCTCCTCCTCCTCCTCGTGATCATCCTCCTCCTCCTCCTCCTGTTCCTCCTCCTCCTCCTCCTCTTCCCCCTCCTCCTCCTCCTCCTCCTCCTCCTCCTCCTCCTCCTCCTCCTCCGCCTCATGTTCCTCCTCCTCCTCCTCTCCTCCTCCTCCTCCCCTCCTCCCCCCCGCTTCTCCTCCTCCTCCTCCACCTCCTCCTCCTCCTCGTTCTCCTCTTCCTGCTCCTCCTCCTCCTCCGCCTCCTCCGCCTCCTCCTCCTCCGCCTCCTCCTCCTCCTCCTCCTCCCTCCCCTCCTTTCCTCCTCCTCCTCCTCCTCCTCCCCCCTCCTCCTTCTCCTCCTCCTCCTCCTCCGCCTCCTCCTCCTCCTCCTCCTCCTCCTCCTCCTCCTCTCCCTCCTCCTCCTTTTCCTCCTTCTCCTCCTTCTCTTCCCCCTCCTCCTCCTCCTCCTCCTCGTCGCGGAAGATCTTTGAGCACGAGGAGGGAGATGTGTCTCTCTGGGAGATTGTGAAACATGAAAAACAACTGCAGCGCGAGGATCAGGGAGCACACAACAGGAGAGTTGAAAGCCCTATCTCCTTCGATCTCGACTCTGATTGTGCAACATGCAATCCATGCCGTGAATGTTAATTTCAGTACCATACGGATCAAGCGGCGAGTGGTACTGACGTAGTGAGTATGGTATCCAACCGTCCGTCACAAGATCCAACGATAGTTGTCGGCGTAATTATGTTTCATCGGCAAGAATCCATTCTAGCCCCTCGGGACCTTGGAGGTCCAAGTGAGCACCAGCGAAGAGCAGGGGTCCTGTGGTCCTTCCCAAAGTGCAATTGGGCCCCTTGCGACGTATTCGCCTTTGTGGGACTGGAACCAAGGGAGCCTCAAAGATCCAAGGGTATTTCCTCCAAGCCTCTTGAGAGACCCCTTGAGCGAGGACCTTGCAGAGTCCCTCAGGATACGTTTTGGCCCCTGCAGTCCTCCAGTGCCCTTGTGAGTCCTCCCCTTCAAGCACCTCCTCCTCCTCCCCCCCGCTTCTCCTCCTCCTCCTCCTCCTCCTCCTCCTCCTCCTCCTCCTCCTCCTCCTCCTCTCCTCCTCCTCCCCTCCCCCCCGCTTCTCCACCTCCTCCCTCCTCCTCCTCCTCCTCCTCCTCCTCCTCCCCTCTTCTCTCTCCTCCGCCTCCTCCTCCTCCTCTCCTCCTCCTCCTCCTCCCCACCTCCCGTCCTCCCTCCCTCCCTCCTCCCCCTCCTCCTCCTCCTTCCTCCCCCCTCCTCTCTCCCTCCCCTCCTCCCTCCTCCTCCTCCTCCTCCTCCTCCCCTCCTCCTTCTCCCCCCCCCCGCTTCTCCACCTCCTCCTCCTCCTCCCCTCCCCTCGTCTCCTCCTCCTCCCCCCCTCCCTCCTCCCTCCCTCCCTCTCTCTCCTCCTCCTCCTCCTCCCTCCCTCCCTCCCTCCCTCCCTCCCTCCCCCCTCCCTCTCGTCCTTCTCCCTCCTCCTCCTCCTCCTCCTCCTCCTCCTCCTCCTCCTCCTCGCCTCCTCCTCCTCCTCCTCCTCCTCCTCCTCCTCCTCCTCCCCTCCTCCCCTCCGCCTCCTCCTCCTCCTCCGCCTCCTCCTCCTCCTCCTCCTCCTCCTCCTCCTCTCCTCCTCCTCCTCCTCCTCCTCCCTCCCTCCTCCTCCTCCTCCTCCTCCTCCTCCTCCTCCTCCTCCGCCCTCCCTCCCTGCGCCTTTCCTCCGCCGGATTTCCTGGATCGGATTTACGTGCGGATTTCTTGGATCGGCGCTGGGATCCCCCCGGCGGCGCCTCCGGCGCCGCCTTTGGCGCGCTCCGCGCGCCTTTTGGAGGGGGTTCAGCGCCGATCCCAGCAATCCGTGCGGAGTTTTCCGGAATTGTATTTTTATGTTGTTGTATGTGCCTCTAGTCCGTTCGCTTGTTCTTTCTCATCAAACTCTCGACTGTAGGAGGTTGTCGTGCCTTGTGAGGAGCATCTCGACCAGGAGTACGTCGGACCCGCGTTCGTCCTGGTCGTCCTGGCGGCTGTGATCGCCCCTCTGACCTCGAGCAGAGGACTGCCTTTCTGTTGCCACGGCTTGCCTTGTTTTGCAACGGTTTGCGTGAGGGCTCAACCAAACGAGGCATGCATGAAGACATCGGGCGGGGTCAGGACGAGGATTCAGAGCGTTACGGAACGATCTGAGAAGGCCGCGGCGCCCGAAGCATCTTCCAGAGCCGCTGGATCTCAGAGATTATCGATTATCTTCTTCCGTTGAATTGAGGAACGACTACAGGGTTGATTTGCTCAGAAATTGAAACGTACGAGTAAATGAGTATTTTATTCGTTTACTCATGTACCAGTGTAAACATAATATTAAAGGGTATATGTTCCCTCTCCATGTCGTTCGGCGCCCACTGTCACTCAGTGCCCTATACGTTGGCAACCCCGCTCCGCAGCGCGCCTGCTCTGCTTCCTCGGGGCTCGTCAGGATTCCATGTGCATCTGGACTCCCCGCGAGTTGTTCTCCTCCTCCTCCTCCTCCTCCTCCTCCCCCTCTTCCTCCTCCTTCTCCTCCTCCTCCTCCTCCTCTTCCTCCTCATCCTCCCACGTCTTCTCTGGTCTCGTAAGGGTGCATCTGGATTGTTCAAGACGCTTCAGGGCTTCTGGGGCTTCCCCCCGACTTCGAGGAGTTCTACCATTTCTGAGTACTCCTTTCAATGCCACAAATTCCCGCAAAAATTCGCTGCGGCCCTCAGGCCACCTCAAGGTTTTTTTCTGAAGTTCCCAAGGACTCCTCGGGGTACTTCAAGAACGTATCTCGGGCATTATCAGATTCAGCAGGATCCGTTTGGTTTCCGCACCATTCCAAGCTGCTCTTTCGGTTCTCCATAGTCTTTCAGGACCTCTGAAGGATAGCGTGACTCCGCAAGAGTCCTCCGCGTTCAAGAGGATGCATCAGGATTACTTCGGATCCCGCTGCACTCTCCAGGATTCCTCAATGTTGTGTTGGTTTCCTCATGCCCTTCCAAATGCAGTGTTGGCAATTCGACCCGCCTCGCGAGCCTGTTGACAAACAAGTATCCCCGCAATTAGTCTTCGCCCGTAGCCCGGGACGATTTCTGACGCCGCTTGCGCCTTCGCTTGCGGCCGCGAAAAAAAGTCCCCGCAATTCAATTGAGAAGCGATGCCCATGAACGGGAAAAGGGGAAAGAGATACACATCGTTATTCAGCGCGGGCAACAGGGGTGAACTGAGAGATCTCTCGGTCCTCGGCATGGCGGTGCTGGTGTTGCTGGTGTTGATCCTGCTGTTGGTGTGTTGTTGCGATTGCTGGTGCTGCTGCTGGTGCTCGTGGTGTTGTTGCCGGTGTTGGTTCTGGTGTTGACCCTGTTGTTGGTGTTGTTGCGGTTGTTGTTGTTGTTGTTGTTGCTGGTGCTATTGCTTTTGGTTTTTGTTGATGCCGCTGCTGTTGATGCCGTTGGCGTTGCTGGCACTGCTGCTGCCGCCGCCGCTGCTGATTGCCGCTGCTGCTGGCATTGCTGCTCTTGGTGATGTTGCTGATGCTGCTGCTGGTGCTACTGATGCTGCGCTGTAGCGGGTGGTGTTGTTGGTGGAGCCGGGCTGTGACCCGAAAACGGGGAAGGCCAATTTTGGGGGTGGTAGGCGCGGGGGGGGATGCACCGACCCCCAATCGCCCATTGATCGCTAACAGGGGCCGATAGCGCCAACCTGCCCAGGAACGTTCGGATTGATTATCTGGGGCCTGTCGCCGATCTGTCGGTGATGTATTGCCAATTCCAGGTCGACGTTCCCCAAGAGATGGCAACATCTCTAGACTGCAAGGGTAGCTTGTTGGATTCGGACCCAGCGAACTAATCCTAGGGAAACAGCTCCTGAGGTTTCCTCCAGTTTCGGTTTCTCGGAACACTCCACGGGCCCCGGGAGTGTCAGAAAACGACTCCGGAGGAAGAATTGGTCCCAGGGGAGGGCCACAGGGTCCAGGACTTGTTTCCCTCAGGACCCGTCTCCCCCATGCTTCATGGCCACGCTTTAAGATTGCAAAGTTAGGGCCTGGCTGGACTGGGACCTAGCGAACTACAGTCAACCCGCATAGTAAGGACGGGCAACCTTCCCCAGGGTACCCTTGCATCCTTGGCTCGTCGGTCCATCCTTGGCAGCTTTTGCTGGCCGCGCCCCGCCAGCGCAGTGTCGACACGCTGTTCCAAGGCCCTTGCATCCTTATCGTGCGTCCTTAAGATACGGGTCGATTGTAATCCTTGGGTCTCCATTGCCATCCTCCCTTGCTCGCCGTTTGGTTCGTGGGCTGGCGGCGGACGCCCCATCGCCCTCTCGCCCGGAGTGGCAGGAGGGGCAGCAAGGAATCGAGTTCCAAATCTCGGAACCGGTCACGGCATTCCCCCTCCCCCGCCTCCCCCGCTTCTTCCTCCACTTCCTCCTCCTCCGCCTCCTCCTCCGCCTCCTCTTCCTCTTCCTCCTCCTCCTCCTCCTCCTCCTCCTCCTCTTCCTCCTCCGTCTCCTCCTCCTCCTCCTCCTTTATCCCTGGCGCCCACCTGACAGATCTGTTGGGCTCTACGTCGACTCCAGTGCGACGCCAGTTCGACTCAGATTCGGCTCACGTTCGACGCAAGTCGACGGATGCTCGACGCAGCTTCGACGCACGAGCAGAGCCAGCGGCTCCAGGAAGGTCCCCAGGACGAGCATCGAACTCTTGCTCCGCAAGCACCGCTTGCGCTCGGTCAGTGCTGCGTTGTTCATCCAGCATGGGTCCGTGGACGGTCGCGCTTCGCTGCCCGTCTCTACATGTCATCTCGTGGTGAGAAATATGCAGGAATCGGGCACGCGAACATACACCGAGTGCTACCTGGAGACGTTTCTAGGCAAGTGTTCGGCACACTGAGTCACCAGGGAATCGAAAACACAGGTCCCATTGGTTCAGAGCCGTGTCGAACGCTGGTTTGAGTTCCTGCCCATCAGTAGCATGGGGGAGACGGGCCCTGAGGGACACGGGTCCTGGATGCTGGGGCCTGCCCCCGGGACGATTTCTGCCTCCTAAGCCGTCCTCTGGCCATCCCGGGGCCCGTGGAGTGCCCCGGGTGGAGTAGCCGCGGCACGGTAGGCATTAGAGAAACGGGTCCTGAGGACAACGGGCCTCGTGGTGTTTCTCCGCTTTCGGGCCCTCGAGGCCTTACGCGGGCCCTGGGAATGCCAGGACACGCTCCAGGATGACAGGATTTCTTTTGGGGGAAGGCTCGTGGGTGCAGGACCCGCTTCTGTGCTATTTGTCTTTGCACATGAAATTATGCTTTTTTGAGGAATTTCGAACCCCATGCTAACCAAAGTTGCCGCAGCTTTTTGAGGGTCAAGCCTGCGCCGCGGTGGGAACGGCAGGGTCCAGGGGTCCGGGGGCTGACGCCGCATGGCCGTTCGCGGCCCCGTCCCCCCTACCGTGGCGGGGATAAACCCTTCAATGTCGGGCGGGGGTGGCGGCGAGTAGCGCAGTACAGTTCCGTCCGCTGTACGCCAGTGTACCACATTCGAGTCACCAGTGTGTTTCCAGAGGTTCATGGATGCGCGCCACCTGGTCCCCCTTGAGCAAACAGAACCGCGGGGTGGGTGACCCGCCTTGTCGTCGTGGATGTTCCATGGTCCCAACCTCTTTGCGGCGGAGGCGTGGGTCGGCACGTTTGTGGGGACGTCGCTATCTAAGCTGAGGCTGCGCGGAAGGTCATAATCGCAGCGTTCGGGCCTGCTGGCACAGAGTAAACGCGGAGCAGGTTGCTGACGGGTGCGTCCTGCATGAATCGCGAAGACGTCTCGAGCGATGTAAGGATGGGCAACCTTCCCAAGGGTACCCTTGCGTCCTTGCCTTCTCGGCCCATCCTTGGCCGCTTTCGTTGGCCGCGCCCCGCTCGAAACGCTTCGAAATGGGCGTCCAAGGGCCTTGCATCCTTATCGCGCATCCTTATTTTGCGGGCTGACTGCAGCGCGAATCCCAAATATATCGTGAGGAAATCCACAGCGAGAGCGTCATTCCTGAGTGTCGGGGGCGCGGCGTCTGAATACATTGCGAGGAAATCCCACGCGAGAGCGCGATTCTTGCATACATTGTGAGGACGACCCGCGCGAGAGCGCGATTTTAGACAACTTGTGCCGAAGTCTCAGGCGGGAGCCGCTGATGTTGCAGACCGGTGGCCAGGGGCGCAGTTTGGCAACACCCAGCCTCCCCTTGTAAATAACAGTGTGCGGGCCGCGGGGGGAGCGCTTGAGTTGAAAAATACAACGTTTACCCGGGGAGGGGGGATCAACAACATTTGTTTTTAGACATGGGAACTAAAATAAACCAACAATACCAACAATAACAACAACAACAACTACAACAACAACAACAACAACAATAATTTTAAGACCGTTCGCCCTTATATGCTCGAGTGTCCAATAACGCGTATTTCCCAAACCCTCGATACCCGCCCTCTTCATCTTCGATCGAACCCCTTTTGGGGGGTATACCTTTCTTCCCTGCAGGCTGGGCCCCGGCAAGCGGCGGGGCGGCCGCGGACCGTCGGCCTGGCCAGCGGCAGCGCTGATCGGCGGGGCGGCCGCGGACCGTCGACCCGACCCCAAGAGGGACGGACAGGGGACCGACCACGACGACGACGACGACGACGACGACGACGTCGAAGACGACGGCGACGACGACGACGACGGCGACGACGAGCGAAAGCGAAAGCGAGAGAGAACGACAGCAGGGCCACGAAGGGCACGAAGTAGGCCACGAAGGGCGACAGCGGGGACACGAAGGGAATGCGTATGGGGCCACGAAGAGCGCGAACGAGCGGGGGCCACGAAGTGCAGATAATGCGGGGCCACAGAAGGCAACTATGGGGCCACTGAGGGTAGCAACTGGGCCACGTAGGACAGTGAGGGGGGCACAAATGGCGACAGCGGGGCCACGAAGGGCATGCACATGGGGCCACAACGGGCGCGACTCCTGGGTGCCTGGGTGTCGGGAGCGCGGCGCTTGGGCAAATTGCAGGAAATCACAACGCAAGGC